CTAGTACTACTGTTGCTGTTGCTACTGCTCCTTCTGCTAGTACTACTGTTGCTGTTGCTACTGCTCCTTCTGCTAGTACTACTGTTGCTGTTGCTACTGCTCCTTCTGCTAGTACTACTATTGCTGTTGCTACTGCTATGTCCACTTCTACTGCCAACAACACAGCCACTACTCCTACTACTATCCCTAGTACTACTGCAGCGGTGACTAACTAAAATCATGACCACTCCCATTACGACTACCATTAACTCTATCCCCTGTGTTACTACTACTGCCACTAGCACTCTTACACACCTGGGAATAAATTTCTAGATGAAGTTCGCCCATTCCTTGTGCTATTGTCTCCTTGTTATCCGAGTCGTAGTACACTCGAAAGGTTGGATCTTCCTTCGTAAAGCGATTGACGGCCTTGGAGAAGTTTTCCAGATCCTTCTGATTCGCTGGCTTCATCGACATTGAGATTACCGAGTCCGGAACAAAGATCGATTCCTGCAGACATCCACAATTACATTATACATCACTGCATCACTGCGTACAGTTCTATACATACATACTTACTATACATTACATACTTACTATACATTACAGACTTACTATACATTACAGACTTACTATACATTACAGACTTACTATACATTACAGTGCCTCTGTGAGAGGTCAGCCACCTTCTAAAATATTCATGTTTCTTAGGCAACTTTCGAGAGTTTGACTACGGTATGCATGCGTGGCTGGTGCAGACGTGTGAACGGTCAGGAAAGATCGAAGCCAAAGGCTTGATATCACTATGCAACACTCGGATGCACTTAATATCACTTATGCATTATCTGCTGTACACATAATCCTTTGAAAAAAGGTTAATAACTATAATCCGAGCAGTGATTCGGCAAACCATTTCGATCCTACACATGCTATTTCACGCATTTCATTATACATACTACAGTGCACATAGAGACATACCACACATAAAAATTGAGATACTAACAAACAGCACAAACGTAGGAAGAGCAAATCACAAGACAAAATTAGAGAGATGACACATACCATAGAAATGTTTGAATTTGGCTTATTGATGAAAGTGTCACCACTAGCACAGTCGATTCCAAACAGTGCACAGATGTCTCCTGCAAATACTTCACTCACATCCTAGAAACACGTAACAATGATTATAAACAAACACCAACAAATCTATTTTAATTAATATATAAGATCCCCACAGGGTATGTTGTTATTAAATAATTTATATGTACGGAGAATAAATCGAAAGTACATAAAACAGTCTGACAAAATAAAAACATCACAAAATTCACTAATGATTTACAGTCCAATACTCAATCTGTTATGTCGGTGTTAGCCCAACGACGTTCATAGTTTATCATCTACTTATCTACCTAGCACAGTATATATTCTGTACTTTTTAACTTGCTACTTGGTACTCTATAACAAGGTACTTGCCTCCATCTCGTCTGAATGCATGCGCACGAGTCGCGACACCTTGGTTCTTTTCCCTGTCCTAGTATTCCAGATGTAATCCCCCTTTTTCAGCTGTCCCTGATAGACTCGGATGTATGTGAGCTGTCCAAATCGGCCTGCCTTCAAAACAAATTTGGGAGACCAATGTTTGAATAAAATAACTGATATCCATACACATGATTAGCAGCAGCACGAGGAAAGCTAACCAAATAAACAACACTACACTACTAGCACAGTATTCTTCGTTAAATAAAATAACACGTTAATTTCGATGCAAGATTGTGCTATATACACTAGGCATGCACGATAAATGGTTCTGTCATCAAGCAGGTATACTAAGAAGTTCTTTGGGTATTCTTGATCAATTATTACATGAAACAGGATAAAATTGCAAAGCAACAAACTTTAAAGTGAACCATAACATGGATTTCAATGAGAAAACTGTAAATAGGTTTTATCAAAAAGCCAAATTAAGCTTAATATATATAATAAATATAATAAGATAACCACCATGCAAATCCAAACTGCAAAACAATGAAAGTGTGCAGAATACTAACAAATTACAAGGTATGGGTATCAAAAAGGTGCAAAACGTTGAAATTTGCAAAGGGACAAACATTAATTAAGTTACTCCTGCATATTATAAGTTATTATTATATGCATATAATATGTAATATAAATTAGCAGACATTCATATAATATCGTCTATAATATTCTATATATAATTCTATAATATCTAAAGGTGATATAATATTACCTCCAACTTGAATGCCAGAGAAACCAGCAAATTTTCACCATTTCTTGCTGGATTCATTAAAATATATATAATTCTAATATCTAAAGGTGATATGATATTACCTCCAACTTGACTCAGAGAACCCAGCGATTTTATCACATATTCTTGCTGGATTTCAATAAAATCTTTCTGGGGTTTTTCCACCAAGCGATAAAAATAATTTATACATTATGCCACCGCCCTCCACGCCCATAGTTGGTTCCACTGTTTAATCAAATGTAATTAGTAAGATAATGACATTAATCCTTCCTGAGTAATTAGAGGCACAGGCATTACACAGCTACATTCACCGAACGAGTAAATTAACTATTCACGACAACACCGCCATTCCGGATCATACTACCCTCTTAGACCCTCCCACCACCACACACATCATATATCAGGTCAGAAGCCACTGATTAACACCACAGATCATACCAGCACCTCCAACGCTCGCTCTAATTGGCACGCCAGCGAGGTAACCACACGACGAGAAAAAGTATAAGCGTGAATTCCGACGGCAGGTCTGACTCAGAAGCCACAGTTGTCACCGAGCCTACGATTGGCCAGCGCAGCGTACAGCGGCTTCAGCAAGCAGGCAGAACTGGGTGTTTCGAGGACAGATGCTTCAGCGAGGCGTGCACACGTGACAAGCACGTCCGGAGCCCATAGCGTACTAGCGTTACACATCAGGACGCGCTGACAATCACCCATGCCACGATGTTATGCCGCTACTGCTGCAGGCTTAGGAGTTGATGTTACAGTCCCAGAGTTTACACGGTCTGTTTACGGTCACCAGGTGTGACGCATTAACGTGACATTTACTCGGTGTTACTCTGGTTATATTATCTATTGGACACAGCTCGTAAGATGGTACAGCAACCGATGTCTATGCGATTAGTGGCATAGCCGCCAGTGCTAATGTGATTAGATGGATAGCCACCAGTGTATATCAGTTAGATGCGACAACAAGACAACCATCCTGTCAACATGCTTAGGCAACACAGTTAGTAATCAACAGCATTATTACAACAATTACATATTACAAAATTAGAAACATTAACTCATCCAAAGCTTGCGTGTTGCCAGCAGCAGAGAGCACCGGTGAGGTGAACATCGCACGGACCAGCGATTATATTTCAGGAAGTCTGACTTGGAGTTCGAGCATAAGGCTCAGTATAACCCTTACTGCCTTCACAACGTGGAACCATTCTGGAACTAAGATCCACGATACATGTACACCAGTTGCTTTAGATATCCACGTCGGTATACAAGGACTTATGAGGCGCGTCGCGCGGAGACGCGGGAACAGTCAACCGTCAATCCTGAGATACGCAAGAAACTGATAGCATGGCAAGCTACATGTCGAGTCAACGCAAGTCTTCCATGTCAAAACACCGCTGCAAACTACTTCCCCACAAATGGATTTTTCTCTTGCATACTGTGTCTTCAAATAATGCATGATAAATTTCAAATGGCGGACTAACTTATAGATAGGCAAGAAAGAGACAGCACATGGCATTTGCACGTTTTCACATCTTCTCTGCCACTATATCAGCCAATTCCAAGAGTAAGTAGCTATAAGAAATATACATGAATGACAATTATCTAATAGACTGCGAAACTTATGTCAAATAGTCACTTGGTGATATATCTACATTAATCTTAGATATTATTCATAACAAATTACCCAAGCCCATTATTTTTTTTCAAAAAACATGTGTCAACGAATCATTGTGCACAATGGTCCGAATATATATATATATATATATATATAATATATATTAATCACCAGAGATACATAATAAAGGAAGAGTATGACACCGTTTAACAGCGCGTTTGCCATAGGTTTTCAAACTATGTAAATATTTCATAATAATGTGAATAATAAATTCCAAACTTACCTTGTTTTTCGTCATGATTCTTCCCTTATCATAATGGACACACCAACCATTTACCTGAAAATCAGTATGTGTCTTCAAAAATAAGTTATTTGAATATGACACGGTGTCCACACAGTTTAACAAATGGACCGATTTTTCAGCCAAACTTTGTTATCGATGTTTCTTTGTATCTGCTGGGGCTGCCGCTGTCAGATAAAAATTTAAGAAAACTGGGGGCTGTTGCGGGATATTAAGTCATCGAAATTGTATCAGTGTGTTATTGCGTTTCAGCGTGCTAAAAATAAATGTTATGCCTCACGCGAGCGATAGCAGCTGATTGAGCTCGGTTGCCATCCTGTTCCTGATGATAAGGAAGCCGAAATCAAATGCTGTTTACTGTGCTTAACACCTAATACACCTCAACAGCCCCAGCTGGACAACCAACCCCCAGCAGATACAAAGAACACTAATCCGATAACAAAGTTTGCGCCTGAAAACATGCATCATTTGTTAAAACTGTGAAACGTGTAGTATCAAAGCAACCTTTTTGAAGAACACATACGATTTTCAAGGTAAATTGGTCGGTGTCATATGATAAGGTAGAGATCTAGCAAAAACAAGTAAAGTTGTGAATATATTTTACTTCACATAATTGATATATATTTACAATGTTGAAAACTATCAAAACGCTTTAAAACTTGTCATACTCCTTCTCTATTATGTATCTTGATACTATATATATATATATAAAGTAATATACCATTGATACTTTTTGCAACGTGGCAGCATTAAATTCTTTTTACGTCTTGTGACCAGAAAGAATGCCGGTACAAGATGGCGTTGCGCAAAAGATCGCGTTTTCCCCGACCGCCCGAAAGCGGTAAGCCTGCGCTTCCGCTGGACTGGGCCCTACGCTACCGCGGTGTTTGTATGTAGCATCTCGCGCTCTCCGCTATACGAAATTCGCCCCGCAAGGAATGGCTGCAGAAGCATAGGCGCTACCAGCGCGCGATATGCGTTATAGCGGAGCACCTAACATCGCGCAATTTCGCGACGCTACATCGCGCTCGCTACATCGGCTTTGGAGGCGCCTCCGCATTATAGATTGACACGCGTTTGTACATCCTCGCCATCGGATTGTCACCTGCCTTTTTTGTACCTTATCTGGGCGTTCTCCACTCTTCTCTTCTCTCTTCCTCGCACTCCCCCACGTGCTGTCTCTCTCTCTCTCTCTCTCTTCTCGCTCGCATCCGCCGCCACGAGTTTTAATAAGGTATCTTAATATACATCGCATCAAGCTGCCGCAGCACGGCCCACACAAAGCATGCACTGCAGCGTTCAATAAAATGATAATTGCCTAAATTAAAGTACAAAATATATTTACTACGAAAGTCACCGGGCCGCCGAAAAACTCCCGAGCCAGCGTTTGTTGGATATAGATTTGGACAGTGCCGGCCCGCCAGTCGAGCGCGGGAGAGGGGACGGCTGGAACGTCCCGCGCTTCCGCCGTCTCGTAAAAACATGGGCAATATATATTGTGTGTCAGTGGCGGCGTATGATAGCATGACCACGTGGAAAAACGCAGTATAGCGAACTGCAGATGACATATGTCCGCATACATATCTATAGTCATATCTATTGGAACACTCAGTCTAATATCACGTATATATACTCGCCACTATGCAGGTCGCAAATTCGCCCCGCATCTCGCTAACACACATGTGGATATCATAAATAATGTGTGTCCTGTAGCGGTCGATGGAGGTAGCTACGTGTAAAAACTCCAGCGGCCACGCCAGCACGTCGCCAGATCTCCAGTCGCACGGCATCGGGCAAGAGCGTTTTGATAAAAACTTGCACGTACGGAGCAGGCGCTTTCCAGATAACATCTAGTGAAATTCTCAGTGTAAACAAACACATCATCAACGGGCTTAGCCAATCAACGTAAGGGTACTAAGCTGGCTACGATAATTTGAATCCTACGTCACGATTGGAGCTAGACTGCTACGGACCTTATAACTCGGCAAGTATCTTTCGCGACACTAAAGTATAGTTAGTGCAGCGTGTGGAACTCTCCACCGCGGAGCAGTCCAAGCTGAATCGCCCGATTCTGTGGAAAATTCCCTTGAAAATCCTCGAAGAGAGCCTCGTCGCGCCATCTATGGACGCCATATGTACGAGAATAAATTCAGGGGGCGAGAAACGCAAGAAATGCAAACTCGCTTTTCTAGACGAAAAGGAAACGCGCGGACCAGCAAACAAGCAATACCAGCATTTGTATTTATCTCGACCTACGTGCATAGCGAAAGGCTTGGTGAATCGCCACAACTCCTCAATTGACCGATTTATACGGCTTTATCCTGTACCCATAGGGCACTGGGGAAATTTTTTCCCATATAGGGCAGCGAATAAGATTTATTGTCACCGGCTGCGCGGCGTTTGCGCGCTTCGCGCGGATATCGGGCTGCAGATCGTCCAGACCACATGGATATACCACAGAATTCGTTTTACTAAAATAAATCAGGCTCAAACAAGGGAAACCAAGGTCATGTAGAGATGAAAGACTCAAACAAGGGAACCAAGGTCATGGACGAGGACACTAAGATACTGATGAGAAACAACGAGCAAAGACGAGACGACCGAGTCACAAACAAGCCATGCGGGGGAGGACCCAGGGACAGCAGCAGCCGCAGTAGCACCAGCACACCACCACACTACACAGCAGCAGTACAGCAGAGCAGTAGCCAGAGCAGTGCAGCAGTAAGCAGCAAGTAGCAGTAGCAGTAAGGCAGTACAGCATACCGCAGTAGCACGCAGCTAGAGTAGCAGGCAGCAGTAGCAGTAGCAGCAGCAGTAGCAGCAGTAGCAGCAGTAGCGCAGTAGCAGCAGTAGCAGCAGTAGCAGCAGTAGCAGCAGTAGCAGTAGCAGCAGTAGCAGTAGCAGTGCACAGTAGCAGCAGCAGCACAGTAGCAATAGCAGCGTAGCAGTAGCAGTAGCAGCAGTAGCAAGCAGTAGCAGTAAAGCAGTCGCAGTAGCAGCAGTAGCAGCAGCACGCAGTAGCAGTAAGCAGTAGCAGTAGCAGCAGTAGCATAGCACCGAGCAGCAGCAGTAGCAGCAGCGCAGTAGCAGCAGTAGCAGTAGCAGCTACAGCAGTACAGCAGGCAGCAGTAGACAGCAGCAGCAGTAGTAGTAGCAGTAGCCAGCAGTAAGCAGTAGCAGCGAGCAGCAGCAGCAGTATAGTAGTAGTAGTAGTAGGAGTAGTAGTAGTAGTAGTAGTAGTATAGTATAGTAGTCTGTAGTAGCAGCAGTAGCAGTAGCAGTAGCATAGCAGCAGTAGCGAGTAGCAGTAGCAGTAGCAGTAGCAGTCAGTAGCAGTAGCAGTAGCAGTAGCAGTAGTACTAGCAGAAGGAGCAGTAGCAACAGCAACAGTAGTACTAGCAGCAACAGGAGTACCAGCAGCAGCGATTGCGGTAGCAACAGCATCAGTAGCAGACTCAAGATGACGCAGATGAAAGACTCAAACAAGGGAACCAAGGTCATGGACGAGCCACTAAATTACTGACGAGGAAACAACGAGCAAAGACGAGACGACCGCAGTCACAAACAAGGCCATGCGGGGAGACCCAGGGACAGCAGCAGCCGCAGCAGCAGCTGCAGTGCAGCAGCACCACCACCAACACCCACCACCCAGCAGTAGCAGCAGCAGTAGCAGCAGTAGCAGTAGCAGTAGCAGTAGCAGTAGCAGTAGACAGCATAGCAGTAGCAGAAGCAGTAGCAGTAGCAGTAGCAGCAGTAGCAGTAGCAGTAGCAGCAGCAGCAGCAGTAGTAGTAGCAGCAGTAGCATACAGGCAGCACAGCAGTAGCAGTAGCAGCAGTAGCAGTACCAGCAGTAGCAGCAGCAGCAGCAGTAGCAGTAGCAGCAGTAGCAGTAGCAGCCAGTAGTAGCAGCAGCCAGCAGCGCAGCAGCAGTAGCAGAAGCAGCAGCAGCAGCAGTAGTAGTTACAGCAGTAGCACAGCACAGCAGCAGCACGCAGCAACCAGCAGCAGCAGCAGCAGTAGCATAGTGAGCAGCATAAGCAGCAGCAGCAGCTAGTAGCAGTTGTTTGCAGCAGCAGTCGCAGCAGCAGCAGCAGACAACACACCACACATCACCACCAGCAGCAGCAGCAGCAAGCTACACCAGCACCACCACTACCAACAGCAGCAATAGCACCACCACCAGCAGCAATAGCAGTAGCAGTAATAGTAGTAGCAGCAGCATTACTCACTCGTCAGCGTTGTCCAGGGCTAGGTTATCCACCTCGGCCGGGTGAGGCAGTAGTCTACGACGGCGTCCATCAGTGGCTGGATGCCCTTGTTTTTGAGCGCTGTGCCGACGAGCACGGGAGTGAACGCGCGCCGCATGCATGTACGCCTGATCGCCGCCTGAAACCGAGACGGGTCGTCACAGACAGGTGCACAACGTCTCAGGTACATAATGTCTCAGGTACTAATGTCTCAGGTTCCTAATGTCAGTACGTAATGTCTCCAGCTACGAATGCGCTCTCCTAATGCCTCAGCGTTCATGTCTCAGGTTCCTAATGTCTCAGGTACGTAATGTCTCAGTACGTAATGTCTCAGCTACATATATCTCAGGTACGTAATGTCTCAGGTACATAACATCCCAGGTGTGTAATATCTCAGTTAGGTAACATATCAGCTACATGTCTCAGCTACGTAATGTCTCAGGTACATGTCTCAGCTATATAATGTCCATACATGTGTGTGGTGAACTATAAGGTCTCGAATACTGATATGAAAACCTATCAATAATGCTAGGATAAACTGCACACCTTCAGTTGTTCAACTGTCGGAATCTTCTCTTCGAGGAACATTTCACCAAGAAAGTCATCAGCATTTGCCACGTTCTCTGTAAAATGAGTGTAACGGATTATGGAAATTGTAAAAGTGTCAGAATCTGCTCTATTGGATCAGTAAATTGTGCAATCACTGGATTCTTATTTTATATGTTATACCAGTATAAAATATCGGAACCAAAACAATCAAACAGTTGGTACCTAAAGCCAGTACAACGACAGCACCAGCAATTTTTATCGACAGCACTGTTGATAAAAATTGCCACGTGTGCGCCACCCGGCAACAATGCAACCATCTGTCAGCGACATACCACTGTATGAACTGTACGTGACCTGTTCAAACCACACCACGGGCGCTGCGGGAAATGCTAATCCCCAGGAGTGGAGGGGCAGTACTGCAACATGGCAGCACTAGCTGTGTAAAGATTAGGGTTAGGATCAGGATTAGGGTTAGGGTTAGGGTTAGGGATATAAGGCTATGTCTAGCACGGAAGTATGACTGTGGAATCTTTCTGTGGAAAATTTGGACTTTGAAGTCGCGAACTGAATTGTCCCTCCACGCCCGTGTAATAGCAACACCCGGGTGCTGCTATAATTTTGATCACGTGCTTCAAATCATGCATTTAATTAGTTAATCAAAAAACTGTTGCCTGAATCCGTCGTCTGGTTAGCGCACACGTAGCGATTGTTCAGCGACTGGGCAACAAATATCAAACGTGTTTGATATTCCAGCGACGAGTTTCTGGCGTCAAAATCGGTGCCGCCGTGCAGCGCACACGTGGCGATTTCTCGGCGATTTTGTTGCTGGCAGCAAAATCGCCAGTACTGTCGATAAAAATCGCCACGTGTGCGCCGGGCTTAACAGCCAGCCTAAATACAGTTTATTATCAAATTTTAAAAGTTTAATAATTACAGACGGTTTTAAACAAGGCAACTAACGGTACCTATTAATTCTTGTTTCCTGTCTTTAGCTTCAGCTCTCATCTCTGGTGGAATTTCATCTTCTCTTATGACGATTCTAGAAATTGTAGCTCATAACAGAAAAACTCAGGCGTAACTCGTCACATGGGCTAAATGGAGTCAGCCAACAGTTTGTTAGTTATCAAATATATGCAACACTGCAATAGTATACCAAGGTGCGAAATTAACGGGAGTCCGAAGTCAAATACTCCCTGATTTACTGTCGGACTCCCTGATTTGACATATGCAGGAGTCCGTGTGACTCCCTGAAAATTCTGCCATACTAACTAGTTCGTTCCGGAGCACGGCCTTGCGGAATTACTGTATTTTTTCAGCTAATGTCAAAAGAAAATCTGGCAGACGTGCAACTGTATGAATCTTAAAAATAAGCACATGCGTTATTGTTAATATCTTTAATTTTGAACCTCAGACTGCGAACTCCCTCTTTTTGAGGGTAGGGAGTCCGTTGAACTCCCTTGTTCAAAAGTTAATTAATTTCTACCCCTGGTATACACATTATATATATATTGAGAACTGACATTATAATCTAGCAAACAGGGTCAAGTTACTTTCAAACTTTACAGTAATAAACTGCATAATTGGCATTCTTTATTATAGTACTACCCTATTCGCAATTAAATTTACCAATACAATGGTTCTTTTACTGAATGCGCATGTCGTAGCTAATACAGACATCTGAGCATGTCGAGGTCAAAGTCGACTTGCAGTGAAGTGATAACTACCCACCCTGACATTTGACGACATATTGTTTCTAATATCCAGTGAAATGGTTGTGCGACATTTTATGAATAGCCAATCGCAGTCATAGAATGTGATTTCATCAGCATACATTGACAAAAACATTTCGTAATGGACATTAGGCAGTCGACATTAGACATTAGATAATGGCGTATTGTTCAGTTGTCTTCGGATTTATAATAGTGTCTGTCGAACGTAATATTTAAGAAGTCAGAGAAACTTGGTTTTATATGATCTGGGTCACTTGCTGCTGCAAGCTAAAGGAATCAGTTGGTTATCCTTAGCACAGGACCTAGAAATCAATGATAAGCTCGCATAACATGCAACAGTCTAGAGTTTACAAACTTAAAATGTCCACCATTATTTCGACGAGAAAGGAGGCAGTCAATAATGCCTGGAGTGTGGCCGAGGCCAGTCGTTGCAATTTTGATCCTGAATGTTATGCGTGGTAGTTCATCGCTGTAATGATTTTCGACCTTAACGAAAACACACAAAACCTATAATATAGAGTGTATTCTTACCCATTTGGTTCTTCAAAGTAAAGAGCTTTTTCATGAACAAGGTCGACGATTCCTTTACAGTTACTCTCCACACCGATGGGTAACTGAAGAAATGCGGCATTGTGTAGGAGTTTTGACCTGCATAAACCCGAATGAAGCTAAATAAAACAGACCTGTAACCATCTAAAATTTACAACTTGCATCCTGTTTTTAACTTGACATGTCTCTCTGTACTGATATGCTTAACTTTTTTTCATCAGGAGTGAACAGAAAACATTTGTATTTATTCACTCCTAATTATGTGCTCATCGATTTATCAAATTTCATTAACTTTCCTAATTTCATTCAAATTTTTAATTTAAATATATTTAACAACATCAACTTGAAATCCAATTTAGTACATGTGAATTTCATTAAAATACCCAGATAAGTACACTATGGATAATGTTAATATGGCCAACCTGAGTTGCTGCATGACACGATTAGGGTTTGCACCAAGTCGATCCAGTTTGTTGATGAAGGCGAGACATGGTACGTTGTATCGGTTCATCTGCCTGTTGACAGTGTAAGACTGGCTCTGTACACCACCCACAGCACACAACACCAATACTGCACCATCCAGGACACGCAGTGCCCTCTCTACCTCCACCGTGAAATCCACATGACCTGTAACAAAACACAGAACGAATGTCACAACTAAACACAGACTCATCGCTAACAATAAGCGGTTGGTTTCCTAATAAAAAATCATACTGCTGTAACTAAAATAATCCTTCATTATAAATATCAACCGACTTCAATGTGACAGTCAAAATTTTCTAAGCAAAATGAATGAATGAAATGTAGACTATAAAGTACAATGCACGGGGAAATCCCCATACAATTACCTAGCATTCAAGAAACCAACACCTCCCGTTTGAATTAATATATAATTACCAACAAAAACAACATACAGTGCAGATGTTTTTAATTACCTAATTATGAAAGTTTTTAGTACCTATTAATAATTCCTGTATATTCTATTCAAGTCAAAAGCAGTGAAGATACAACTGCAAACGTTCATAAAAGACCGTTTATTTACCTAGTACAAAATATGCAGGGTTAATTTTTCTTCGGAGGGAAAATTAGACAAAGGAGGTAATGGCCAGTTATGGAAAAAAAATATATATAATTCTAATATCTAAAGGTGATATGATATTACCTCCAACTTGAATGCCAGAGAAACCAGCTGATTTTCACCATTTCTTGCTGGATTCAATAAAATCTTCTTGGGGTTTTTCCTACAAGGATAAAAAAATTTTAACATTATGCACCGCCCTCCACTGCATAGTTGTCCACTGTTTAATCAAATTAATTAGTAAGATAATGAATTAATCCTTTCGGAGTAATTAGAGACAGGATTACTTGAAACAGCCCCACTGCAGATTAAAGCACAGCTACATTCACGCGAGACGAGTTAAATTAACTTTCACGACAACACCGCATCCGGATCATAGGCCTAACCCTCTTTACCCTCCCCACCCACACCCAATCATATATCAGTCAGAAGCACTGATTATAACCACAGATCATGACTCAGCCACCTCCGAACGCTCCTCTAATTGGCACTGCAAGCGAGGTAACCACCGACGAGAAAAAGTATAACGGTGAATTCGACGGCAGGTCTGACTCAGAAGCCACAGGTTGTCACGAGCCTACGATTGGCAGGCAGCGTACGGCGGCGGCTTCAGCAAGCAGGCAGAACATGGGTGTTCAAGACAGATGTTCAGCGAGCGTGCAACGTGACAAGCTATGGTCGGAGCCACTAGCGTACTAGCGTTACACATCAGGACGGCTGACAAGTCACCGGTGCCACGACGTTATGGCCACTACTGCTGCAGGGTTAGGCAGTTTTGATGTTACAGTCAGAAGTGTTACACGGTTCTGTGTTACGGTCACAGGTGTTACGCGATTTAACGTGACATTTACTGGTGTTACGCGGTTATATTATCTGATGGACACACTCTGTTAAGATGGTACAGCGACCGATGTTTTGCGATTAGATGGCATAGTCGCCAGTGTAATGTGATTAGATGGGATAGCCACCAGTGTTATACAGTTAGATGCGACAACCAAGAAACCATCCATCAACATGCTTAGCAACACAGTTAGTAATCACAGCATATTACAAAATTACAATTACAAAATTAGAACATGTAACATTCCAAGCTTGCGTGTTGCAGCAGAGAGAGCACCGGTGAGGAGACATCGCACGGTGAGCAGCGATTTAATTTTCAGGAAGTTCTGACTTGGAGGTTCAGATAAGGCTCAGTATTAACCCTTACTGGCTTCACAAGTTGGAACCATTCTGGAACTAAGATCCACGATACATGTACACCAGTGGTTAGAATTCACTCGGTATACCAAGGACTTATGAGCAGCGTTCGCGAGACGGGAACAGTCACAGTCGAATCCTGAGATCACGCAAAGAAACTTGATAGGATGGCAAGCTACATGTCGAGTCAACGCAAGTCTTCCCATGTCAAAACACCGTGAAACTATTTCCCTCACAAATGGGATTTTTCTCTTGCATTATGTGTACTTCAAATAATGCATGGATAAATTTCAAATGGCGGGGACTAACTTATCAGGATAGCAAGAAGAGACAGCAACATGGATTTTGACGTTTCAATCTTTCTTCACTATCAGCAATTCACAAGGTAGTAGCTATGAGAAATATTACATGAATAACCAATATCTATAGACCGTATAACTTATGTCAAATAGTCACTTTGATTATTATCATACATTAATCTTAGATATTTATTCATAACATAATTACCCAACCCATAATTTTTTTTCAAAAAACGTGTCAACAAATCATGTGCAGCATGGTCCGAATATATATATATATATATATATCAAGAGTACATAATAAGAGAAGAGTATGACACCGTTTTAACAGCGTTTTGCATAGTTTTCAACTTGTAAATATTCTATCAATATGTGAATAAATATATTCAAACTTTACCTTGTTTTCGTCTATGATTCTCCCTTAATCATATGACACCACCAATTTACCTGAAAATCGTATGTGTTCTTCAAAAAAGTTATTTGAATATGACACGGTGTCACACAGTTTTAACAAATGGACGCATGTTTTCAGCCAAACTTTGTTATCGGATTAGTGTTCTATTGTATCTGCTGGGGGCTGGTTGTCAGCTGGGGGCTATTGGGGATATTAGGCATCGAATTGTATTCAGTGTGTATTGCGTTTCCAGCGTGCTAAAAATAAATGTATGCTCACGGCGAGCTAGCAGCTGATTTGAGCTGTGTTGCCATCGTGTTCCTGATGATAAGGAAGCGAAACAAATGCTGTTACTGTGCTTACCTAATATCCTCAACAGCCCCCAGCTGACAACCAACCCCCAGCAGATACAATAGAACACTAATCCGATAACAAAGTTTGGCTGAAAACATGCATCCATTTGTTAAAACTGTGTGAAACCGTGTAGTATTCAAAGAACCTTTTTGAAGAACACATACGATTTTCAGGTAAATTGGTGGTGTCATATGATTAAGGGAGAATCATAGACAAAAACAAGGTAAAGTTTGAATATATTTATTCACATATTGATAGAATATTTACAAGTTGAAAACTATGCAAAACGCTGTTAAAACGGTGTCATACTCTTCTCTCTATTATGTTGATAATAGTATATATATATATATAAAGAATATAGCCATGATACTTTTTGCAACAGTGGCAGGCATAATTCTTTTTTACGTCTTGTGACCAGAAGAGCCGGTACAAGATTGGCGTTGCCAAAAGAGCGTTTTCCCCGACCGCCCGAAAGCGGTAAGCCTGCGCTTCCGTGGACTGGGCCCTACGCACCGCGGGTGTTATGTAGCATCTCGCGCTCTCCGCTATACGAATTCGCAGTGCCTCGAAGAAGGCGACGCGCGCGATATGCGTATAGCGGAGCACCTAACATCGCGGCAATTCGCGACCTACATCGCTCGCTACATCGGCTTGGAGCCTCCGATTATAGAATTGACACCGTGTACATCCTCGCCATCGATTGTCACCTGCCTCATTTTGTACCTTATCGGGCGTTGCTCCCACCTTCTCTTCTCCTTCTCGCACTCCCCACGGCTGTCTCTCTCTCTTCTCTCTGCTCTTCTCGCTCGCATCCGCCGCCACGTTTTTAATAAAGGTATCTATATATACATGCATCAATGCTCGCCAGCAGCCAGGCACACAAGCATGCACTCACGTTCAATAAAATATAATGCAAATTAAATACCAAAATATATTTACTACGAAAGTCACCGGCGCGAAAAACTCCCGAGCCAGCGTTTGTTGATATAGATTTGGACAGTGCCCGGCCCGCCACGTGAGCGCGGGAGAGAGGCTGGAACTCGCGCTCCGCCGTCTCGAAAAACATGGCAATATATATTGTGTGCAGGCGGCGTAATGATAGATACACTAAACGAACGCAGTATGAGCGACACTGCAGACTGACATATGTCCGCATACATACTATAAAGTCTAGTCTAGGAACACTAGTCAATAATATATTACCAAGGCGCACTAAGGAATCGCAAACTATCAGCGCACCGCGATCATCGTACAGCCCACATGTGGATACATACAATAATGTAGGTCCCCTGTAGGCGGCGATGGACGGTAGCTAACTGTAAAACCGACGGCCCACGGCCCGTAGCTACGTCTCGCCAGGATCTCCACGTCGAGCACGGCAGAGCGGTCAGTGTTGATAAAAAGCTTGCACTACGGAGGGGCAGGCGCTTCAATAACCTCTAGTGAAATTCTCAGTGTAAACAACATCATCAACGGCTTAGCCAATCAACGTAAGGGTACTAAGATGGCTAACGATAATTGAATCCTACCGTCACGATTGAGGCTAAGACTGCTACGGACCTTAACTCGGCAAGTATCTTTCGCGACACTAAAGTTATAGTTAGTGCAGCGTGTGGAACTCTCCACCGGCGGAGCAGTCCCAAGCTGAATCGCCGATCCTTGTGTGAAAATTCCCTTGAAAATCCTCGAAGAGAGCCTCCGTCGCGCCATCTATGGGACCGCCATATGTACGAGAATAAATTCAGGGCGAGAAACGCAAGCAAACACTCGCTTTTCTAGACGAAAAGGAAACCGCGACCAGCAACAAGCAATACCAGCATTTGTATTTATTCTCGACCTACGTGCATAGCCGAAAGGCTTGTGAATCGCCACAACTCCTCAATTGACGCGATTATACGGCTTTATCCTGTACCCATGCGGGCACTGGGGAAATTTTTTTCCCCATATAGGGCAGCGAATAAGATTTATTGTCACCGGCTGCGCGGCGTTGCGCCGCTTCGCGCGGATATCGCGGGCTGCAGATCGTCCAGGACCACATGGATATACCACAGAATTCGTTTTACTAAAATAAATCAGGCTCAAACAAGGGAACCAAGGTCATGGACAGAGATGAAAGACTCAAACAAGGGAACCAAAGGTTCATGGACGAGGACACTAAGATTACTGATGAGGAAACAACGAGCAAGACGAGACACCGAGGTCACAAACAAGCCATGCGGGGGAGGCCCAGGGACAGCAGCAGCCGCAGTAGCACCAGCACCACCACCACCACTACTACCAGCAGCAGTACAGCAGTAGCAGTAGC